TGTGGCAGATTTTTGCCTGGAAATGCTTTGAAATAACCTTTTCTGCCGCTTCCTGCCCCCTCACTCCAGTGCTCTGTGCTGGCAGAGTTGAGTAACAGCCACACCCCTTATTACATGTCCTTACACAGATTTCTATTAAGGAGAAGGGGAGAGGTTGTGCCTGACCAGCTCTGTGTGAATTAATGACATCACTGGGTCAAACTCTGGTCATCCCTGGAATGCACAACTACGGAAACATGAAAATTGAAGTCAGTATAATGTCTGTCTGTCTGCATATCCATGGACTGGGTTTAGCTGTGTCTGGAGCTGCTGATGGTTATGTCTGCTGTAGCCAGAAAGAGTGGCAGCTCACACAAGAAAAATAATTAAAAAAAAGGAAGAGATCTCACTTTTCAATGACATCTGCAATGAACTGACTGGCAACCTGCGCCTCTTCTCCTGGGGGCCCAGGACGAAACCGAGGGGAACACAGCGGCGTAAGTTCAACATTAGGAACTGAAAATACATAACTGTTATTCGAGGACACAAATGGTTCTTACATTAAAGGAGAACTATGAGGTGAGTGCTTTTCACTCACCTCATAGTTTAGAGCTGCAGCTAACGATTATTTTCAAAATCGATTAGTTAGCCGATTAGGTTCGATTAATCGGTTAATCGGATAAACAATAAAATAAAGTTTAAAAAATGGCTCCAGTGATGGGACTACTAGTTTGTATTGAGGTTGTAGTCCATCACAGGAGCGAGGGAAGTAAAAAAGAAAAAAAGATAGTGTGGTGTGCAATATAGTGAAATGGAAAGTGTAAAAATATACAGCAATGAATGCAGAATGGCACCGGCTATAGAGGACTACAAAACCCAGCAAAAGCACATTATACAGCGCAATGCAGAATACCGCCAATGGACAGTGGCTGATATCTAATTCATTTATTTAAATTTTACAAATAAAAATGATATCATGATATAGGTATCAATAAATGTCATTTGTCCAGGGTATTATTCCTGTGTTTGGGGGTGTAGTGTGTGTTTTCACTTGTTAGGCACTACAATTTTCAATATCTGCAGGCTGAAGCCTTTTATTTTTTTTGTGAATGAAGGCTCCTGGCTGCCTGTGATCACTGACATAACAATCAAGAACTACTTGAAGGCCCCGTGCACACCAGGGCATCGCAGGAACAGGTGTGGTACATGTCGCAAATTTGGCCACATGCGTCCCACGTTTTTTTCCCCTAGGAATGGCAACACAAGTGCGTTTGTGCACGTATTGTGAACACGCATCAAAGCGTGCACGTTCGACGAGCATTCACTACATGCCCTGGTGAAAACGGGTCCCAATTAGTTCTGACTATTTGAGTTTAACAGCTAGCAGCAGTACACAGGAATTCAATATTGTGTTTGCGCCAGGATTCTGGTGCTAATGCAGCCTAAGAAATGTCTGCGCTAAATTCAGTAACATGATGCGTCATTTTCCAGAACTCTACCGGCCCCTGCACCAAATTCAAGTCGTTCTTATTTGTGCCATGTTTCATTCTGGGCTGTGCTTGCAACATATTCAATAAATAAACTCTAACAGTTTAGTAATAAGAGAAGTGATGCAAAGTAAGACCAAGTACTTTTTGGTGTAACTAGTCTGCCACACGATCATATTGTATATGTCTGTTGCAGTATATGACACATACCTCAGGTATGACATTCCTTGAGACCGAGGATCCCACTGAAATCTGTCTCAGATACATGTCTGTCCGACGTGTCACACATTTACGTACTTTATCAGAGTGCATACATCTGTCCCAAAGTTTGTTTTGCAAGCCAGGTTCAGTTTCACAGGTTTGCGTCAAATTCATGAATGCTCGGCAACCTTGTACACGAATTTGGCGCAAATAGCGACACTATTCCTGTAACCCTCGACACTTTTCTTATGTGTCTCAATGACTCTTTTTGAATTTCCCTGACTGTCGGCCTCTAGCACTCAGTTAGAACATATGGACATTGTGCAGTGGAACATTAATCTACAAACTGTGGGCAAGAAGAGGTTAAACCCCTTTGGTGTCTCAGGGTTACAGGAATAGCGTCATTATTTGCACCAAATTCATGTACGAGGCTGCACAGCATTCATGAATTTGGCACAAACCTATGAAACTGGCGCTGGCTTGCAAACTTTGGGACAGATATATGCACTCTGTGTCCAAAGTGTCACATATGTGTCAGAGACAGATTTCAGTGGGATCCTCGGTCTCAAGGAATGTGTCACATACTGCGACAGACATATACAATATAAACCTGTGACAGACTAGTTACACCAAAAAGTACTCTGCATCACTTTTCTTATTACCAAATTGTTGGAGTTTATTATTAATTATGCATTCCAGAATCCTGCTGCACTCCTTACCGGGTATCCCTGTCAGCGTGGGTGCTCGAGTTTTAGAATTTGGCGCAGACGTTTCCTAGGCCCCATTAGTGCCAGAATCAAGATATTGATGGTGTTTGTGTTACTTTGTCCACCTCTTGTATAGGTAAAGTGCATTATAATCCCCTCCAATGAGAACTACTGAGCGCACACAGAACTATGTTTGGCTGTTACTTACCAATATAGCCCTTGTTAGGAGCATCGATCGGAGGGGTTGCAAACTCCTGTGGAAGAAACAAGAGAACACAAGATCAGGGAGTTTAATGACACAATCACAAGAACAATAATTAGTGGGAACTGTCAGCAAGTCATTAGAGGTCAACGCATGCCTTTAGGAAAGCCAATGAAATAAAGTTCTTTCCAATTTCCACTTTGAAGTAAACGTTGCCGCGTCTCTAAGGACACGACCAGCAGTCTGTAATTACCATACAGCGCTTTTCCCAGCTACCATTTCTACATGGGAGGAAGTCCCAACTCACCGCTTTAATGCCGCATATTACAGTGCAGTTCCCGATCTTCACCAACGCCGAGCCGTCTGCTGTGGTAATAGAGCCTGTAATCACACAACAAATATCACCGCCATTCACAGGAGAACTAAAGGACATGAAATAAGACACAGCGCAGAGACCACAAATGATCCACATTCTCAGGAATATTAGGAAAATGAAGAAAGAAATGACTTGTCTGCTCCGCCCCACCTACTGACCGCAGATTCACTTCTGACATCAATCTGTGAATTCTCAAACAGGGAGCAGCCAGGAAGTGAAAGTTCAGAATTCCATGAGGAGGATATTGTTCAACACAACCAATATGGCTGCCGTTTCCCCGATCTGGTAATACAAGTAGTTACCTCTTTTATGCAGAGACTACTGCTGCACTATTCCTCACTTCCAGCACGCCACACTCCTTCAACCCTTTCACTGCCAGAGCTGTTTTTCCTCAGCTTTATTAGGAGAGATTTCCCCTCACTTCCTGTTATACTAACAACAGTTTCATTGGACAGGATATGAGGATCTCCAAGGGCAACACAAGCTGATTTTTTTTTAGTAGAGTAGGGGAAGGCTTGAAACCCAATCAGCTTTTTTTTTGCTGTCTGTGTCCATAATGCAGATTTTCACCTCACATCCTGTCTGGTAAAATCATTGCCAGTGAACGGAGGGAAATTCTCTCTAATGGAGCCCCAGAGAGCAGTAAAACTCCAACATAGATTCTATCCCTCCCCCACTCTATCAACAACTAAAAAAAAAATGTGTTTTGACTGGAAGTACACTTTAATGCTCATTCACACAGGCGTGCACATCCGTATGTTACAGAGACCTGCTCCCAGGGTGGGCAAGTGCTGCGTGTAATTGCGTGCAGCCGCCTGTAACCTCCTTATGAGAGCTTCACGCTGATCCGTGCAAGGTCCAGGTACCCACAACTTGCATGGATGTGCATGTACGCTGTACAGATGTACATACCCATGTGAGTGGGCCCCTAAAGTGCACCGTTGCTGCAAAGGGTAGAATGTGACTTTCACTAATCATTCAGGGGTTGTATATCAATGACTGTTTAAAACATAAACCCCCGGAGAGTTATCTGGAGTGAATGTTTGGTGAATGTCAGTCACTGCTTTATAAAAATGCCCCATCGCATGGAATAAACTAATACAATCTAACAGTGCGTCAGTGTGGCGTTACAGTGATACTCACCAACATTTATTGTAGTGGTCCTGAATTCATTCAGCTCTCTTCCATCCGGCCGACATTTTTCCTTCTAGAAGGGGGAAAAGTAAAAAAGTTGTGGCAGTGATACTTATTACTCTTACAAAAAAAGTATGACTCTTCCCTGCAGGTATTTAATCATTATGTGCTAAAACCGCAAGCTAATGATCCCAAACTGTCACAGAAAGAAGTCCTCTGTGCTGAAGACGATGTAAAGAACCTGGACACTGGCAGCCTCATTAGTGATTTTTGTGCATTCACACAGATAACAGGAATCAGACAACAAGAATGTCTATATCAAAGAAAACAAGTAGTCAATAAGGGAAAAGTTCAACCAAAGAAACACTTCAATGAGGAAGTTCACCCCCTCTGTTGTTTTGTAACCCCTCTTACCTGGGTTACCTTCAATTCCCATACACACCTGCCCAGTGAATCCAACGTTGTCCTGCTGTGATCCGCTGCCACAGCTCAGGTCTCCTGCCGCCATCTTGATTCTCCTTAGAGATCGGGACCTAGCTGCCTCTACCGGGATCAGGTAGCCAGCCCCTTAGGATGCCCCCATGTCAGATTCACCCCTCAGCAGCTGTATGTCTGCTCCTTCAGCCTCCCTGTGTTGTACGACAGTGATACACCAAGAGGCAAATGGAGCAGGGACACGTCATTATGAAACAGTGAGAGGGCTGTAAAAGAAAAAAAAAAACAACCCCCCTCCCCCCCACAAAAACGGGCTTTTAAAGTAGAATTAAAGTCTTTGGGTTTTTTTTTTTTACATATATCTATTACTAGCAAGCCATAGATGTATGCAAAAACATTTTAAAAAGTTACCAAATGGGTAAATACTTACCTATGTCTCCGCCGCTGCTCTCGGCTGCAGTCCACATATCCGGAGCGGGCCGTGCAGGAGGATGCGGGCATGTGCAGTCAAACATCACCGGCGGGGAGAGGAGACACTCAGTAGAAGTGAATGCACGCAGCCGGGAGCGTGCACGCCGGACAGACTGTGGGGCAGGAAGAGACAGCAGTCTGCGCTGGATCAGAGACCCGCACCAGCGCTGGGAGGACTGCTGGAAACAACTGGAAGGAAGAAGATGATCGCATCAAGAGGCATCATTTAAGGTAAGTCCTTAAAGCAGCACTACAATGGGGGGAAAAAATGGAAAACTGCCAGTTCATTGGCTGTGATGATGACCCTTCACAATGGGGTCAGGGGCCAGAAACAAGTATGCAGCCAGTGAAGTTCTCCTGACCTGCATTCTTGTTGTGGGTCAGTAGTGAAGAAATAAAAGCAGAAGGAAATGGCACTGCTGTTAATTCATTCCTAACCCTAAAGGGCCCATTTACGACTGCGTTTAAACACGCACTTTGCAATGCACTAGAACGCAGGTGTAACGTCCTCAAAATAAGGATGGTGTCTGTTCCCATCTCAGGGGTGCAGCCTGTTTAGAAAAATACTCGTCTGTTTTGTCTGCATTGTAGTGTGTTGGGGGGCTGTAGAAGTCAATGTGCTGGCAACGGGTATTAAAAGCCTTTGTCAATGGCCTGATCTGCTCCAAATTCAAAAACAATGCATGACAACACACAAAGGAAACGCACATTGACAACACACAAAGGAAACGCACATTGACAACACAAAAAAAAAAAGGAAGAGCACCTCCACAGTCCTTTACTTGGGCCCTCCAGCTGTTGTGGAACTACAAATCCCATGAGGCATTGCAAGACTCTCACAGCCACGACTCCCAGAGGCAGATGCATCATGGGATTTGTAGTTTCACCACAGCAGGGGGG